AGGCACCTTAAACACCTGGGAAGACTCTGAGGGGGAGGGGCCTGCAGTTATGGTAATTAGGACATTAATATTAGTATGACCTCATTTGTACCCCCCAGGCCTAGGGAGCATTCAGGCTACAGACGCGAGGGGCCTGGCCCACTAAGTGCTTAATAAATGTTTGTTGAGTTCAGCTGTGTCACGGCCCAACAGCAAAGGAATCTGGATTTAAGGACTCTAACATGTGGTGATGGCTCTGGCAGGGACTGAGGATAAAAGGCAAGAGAGGCAGCGTCTCACCCAGGCCTGCTCAGCCCCTGTGACCAATGCCAGTGTCACTAGCTCAGCCTCACATGCTCCAGTACCAGGGAAGGGAAATGCCAAGTCCCTCAGCTGGCATCTGGAAAACAATAAGGCAGCTGCAAGGGAAGTGACTAATGAGCACTTCAGGGAGCAATTCGGGACATCATACATAGAAACTTATTTCATTCAAAATTGATAAGTTAACGCCATCTAATTAGAGAGAAAATGTGCTGAGCTCTCCAGCTTTCTGAGAACATAGTCCCGAGGTTGTGGCGCACGGCTAGCCTGAAGAGGAGCCACATTTCACCTCTCAGACCAGCAGCCCCAGAAGAGGAACCTCAGAACTGCCCTACCTGGTCCCTTACCCACTCTCCATCTTGCAGACATGCAAAATGTCAGAGCTGGAGGGAGAGCTTCGAATCCAACTTGCTCCCTTCATAGACAAAACTGAAGCCAAGTGAGGTTAAAGCACTTGATCAGGATCACACAGCAGTGGAGCCAGGACCAGACAGAAAGCAAGACTTTGGACTCCCAGGCCAGACTACTTATTGCCATCTGCCGACATTGCCCTAACTTTTCTATGTGGAGTCCTCAAAGCTTTGGGTAGGTCTCCGAACATGATGTCCCTCCTACACAATTATCCATCTTGGCTCCCAGGTCCTAAAAGAGACTCCCCAACCCCTTACTCCTTACAACCAAGTTATGGCTCTCATCTATGGCTCAAAAACTAACTCCTCCAGGCAGCCTTCCAGGATTGTTTCTCCCACATCTACTATTTCACTCACTGGTTTACTTATTCATTCCATGTACATTCAGTGGTTGAGAGCTTGGGTTCTGGAGTCAGATCACCTGGTTTGAATCCTATCCTTTCATGTCCTTGGGCAAGACACTTAACCTCTCCAGGCCTCGGTTACCTTTCATTTAAAGGATGAAACAAATACATACCCTACAACTGAGATTTAGATGAGATCATTATGTACAGCACTTATCAGGGTACCTAGCAAAGAGAAGCCCTGATGTTAACTCTAATTACTGTGTACTGACAACCTAAAAACTGTGCTACAGAAGGAAATTACCCAGTTCCTCATGTGCTCAGGGTGACAGGACTCCTCCAGCGACACACTGGACTGCTGGTGTGAGCTCACCTTAACAAGAAAGGAGAAAGTAGTTTATCCACAAACAAACACAGAGCCAGCAAACTGGAAATCCAGAATCTTGTAATCCACACGAGGTTCATCCTGGGAAATGAGACTCTGGAAGAAGCCTGGAGGTGGTCTCATGAAGCACTTGGATTTGTTAACATGAAGGATGACCTTATGACTTCTAATTGTCATAATTCTGCACAGTAGATTGCCTTCATCTTACTCTATATTCTGTTGTCTCTGTGTACCTGTCTAGGTGGATAACTGGATATACTGTATTAAATTATATGTATTTTTTTGCTTTCAATCTATATACAATTAGGTTTTCAATCTCGTAAAGTAACTGATTATGGAATAAACAGTTGAAGAGTGAAAAAAAAAAAAGAAAGAAATTATGCAGTTCCTGCCCAAGACATGGACAATATGAAATAGAGATATGAGAATGTATTATGGAATCCTAGAAGAGGGACACCTAACCCCGCCTAGGTGGGAAGATTTTCTGGAGGAGACAGCTAAAGCTGAATTTTTTTTTTTTTTTTAAAGATGACCGGTAAGGGGATCTTAACCCTTTACTTGGTGGTGTCAGCACCACGCTCTCCCTCGTGAGCCAACCAGCCATCCCTATATAGGGATCCGAACCCGTGGCCTTGGTGTTATTAGCACCACACTCTCCCGAGTGAGCCACGGGCCGGCCCTAAAGCTGAATTTTAAAGGGTAAGCAGACATTAGCAAGGTGAAGAAAGAAGGACCCAGACTCCAGCCCAAGGAATCAGCATGAGCAGAGGGTGTCAGCACCACGCTCTCCCAAGTGAGCCAACCAGCCATCCCTATATAGGGATCCGAACCCGTGGCCTTGGTGTTATTAGCACCACACTCTCCCGAGTGAGCCACGGGCCGGCCCTAAAGCTGAATTTTAAAGGGTAAGCAGACATTAGCAAGGTGAAGAAAGAAGGACCCAGACTCCAGAGGCAGGAATCAGCATGAGCAGAGGCAGGAAACAGCATGGCAAGTTTAAGGAAACTCAACAGTTCAGTGTTACTGGAGTCACAAGCATGAGACCAAGAGGCATGAGGACAAGCTTGGAGAGGGGACTGGGGCTGGGTCATGCAGGGCTCCTTATTCCATGGAAAAGCCAGGACTTGATCCTGCAGATGGCAGAGAGCCTAGAGATGGACTGTAAGCAGAGGAGAGATGTGGTCAGGCTGGTGGTTTAAATAGATCATTCTAGACTGTGGGGTATGTTTTCTCTGCTTGGCTCCCCTTCAGCAATGATATACTGTCCTTGGTTAGTTTATTTCTAATGGTCAGAAAAATCTGGTCTAACCAGGCCAATCTCAAAGGCCCCTTTTGGCTATGATATTCTGTGAACCACAAACATTCCAACAACTAAGCTGCCATACCTGTCAAACAGGGTCTGCTGCTTTTCAAACAACTGGGATCCTTTTCTATCTCCAGGCACAAATTCAGCGCACATTCAGCAAATGTGTGTTGGTGAATAAATGTCCATCAATGATACCAAACTTGACAGGCTTTTCCTTGGAGCATTCCAGAGGCCCTGTGGGATCATAAGCGTCAGATCCATCACCCACTGGAGTTTTCACCACCTAGGATCAGGGTCGTAAAAGGTGTCAGAGATTGGCCTAGCTTGTCATATTGTTGTTGTTTGCTTTTTAGTTTTTCCACATGTTGCTGCATAAACTATTACAATTCTGAATAAATTATGATTCGGAAGACTGCCTTCCAGCCTCTACTCACTCCACCAGGGTCCACGTGGGGTGTCACGGGAGGTTCTCAAGTGCTGATTGGCTTGTAAAATGCTGTGTGTTTACGATCATGCTCAGTGTCTCATGGACAACTTCCTTTTTAGGATTAATGTGATCAAAGCAAATGTTCCTGGCTTTATAGTCAGACTTGATAGCCTTGATGAAGTCACTTAACCTGCAAAAGGGTAGAAGAGCTTCCCTTGCTGGTTTGCTTTAAGTATTAGAAACAAGAACCACAAAGAGTGATCATGTAACCCCACTGAGCCTCTCTGTTTTCATTTAAGTGGGGGTAACAGTATCCACTGGGCAGGACTGCAGCATGAATGCATATAAAGTCCTTGGTGTGAGCATTCAAAACACCAGTAGCATGATGATTCCTGCCTAATACTGTCTAGGATTAAAGTGACTGAGCACAGGGTTGGCTTAGAGAAGAATCATAATTGAACAATCCCACAGTGAGTTCAGAATTAACCTCTTATTTCCCCTCCCTGCCAACATCCCTATCCCAGCCTCAGTCCCATATGTCCCTTTAGGCCCCATTCAACCCTCCTGGAGATGAGGTTCCTAAGACGGAACATGGGAACTGCCACAGGTGATGGCTGAAGTAGAGCAGGGGACAGTCTCAGTCCCAGAGGTGCTGGGACCAAGCAGGGACCTCAACTCCAGAGCCTCCCACAGCAGGAACTCGGGAACTGAGTTTGGAGGAACACTCAAGATGGAAAAATTAAAGCCTGTCCAAGATTTGAGGCGGGCTGGCGTAAAGCAGGGTGCCTGCCCTTCTTTTTAACCTCTTTGATCAGATTTACTCACAAAACCTATGCCAAGGGCTGAATTCTATAGATAACCACAGAAATCTCCCTTGGGCAGTTCATTCATCCTCCATTAAAAGCTGAAAGGACAAGGACAAAGGGGCAGATGCTTTCAAGGGACTCAGAAAGGTCATTCATTCCCAGGTCACCCTCATCCTGCCCGCCCAGGCAACTTATGTAAAACCAGGGTCTGCACGCCTCACTGGACGGACTCCACACTGGCCGGCGTTCTCACTGCAGTCATCACCTGTCCCTCCAGCATGGCCACCAGTCCTCCTCTACCACCCTGGGAACCAGTATCTTGTTATCAATATACTGACATCAGGTCAAGATCACGATCTTGACATCAGTATCCCTACCAGCACTGCGGGAACTCACCAGCCGACCGCTGGCGAGCAGGAAGATCCAGAGCTTCAGCAACAGCTTGGGGTTTAAGTTCAGACCCACCACTCACTAGCTCTGTGCCCTCCACCCAGTGAACTTCCCCTCTCGGTGCTCATTTCCTCATCTGTACAAGAGAGATCCTGGGACTCAGCCTGCAGGGTTTCTGTGAAGACGAACTCACTTTGACACTGAAGTTTGAAATAGCACCTGGTACACAGCAGTACTCATTAAATGTTAGTTTTCTCTTCACCGACCCCAAACACCCTACCCCATCGGATTCTCCCAGCAGGTGAAATCTCACTGCACTGTTGGTCAGGACGTCAGGACAGACTTCTTCAAAGATGGTCCTGTCTTGGCAAGACCAAGAGTGACCCTTGAGCTGGCTGTCCAGGATGGCCTCTCAGGCTCACCAGACTCCTCCCATGGTGGCGAGCATCCTGGCCTCAGTGTCACCAAGCTGCACATCATCTGGGGGAGCCCAAAATCACCTCACAGCTGAGGAAGAGGACGCAGAGGCTCAAGTCCCCAGTTTTCATTCCATCATGGTGGGGATTCAATTTCATCCCAGGGACACCTCAGCTTAGCTATTTAACTCTTGCTAACAAAGCAACAGGCTCACACATGGTTGAAATGTGTTTAATTTGTGCTGTACACACTGGACACTGCATAGTATTAGTGTCAGCCCCCTGAGAGCACCCCCCCTCCCCCACACAAAGGAGGATCAGGGGACGAATATTCAAAGACAGGGAAGGGAAATAAACAAGATCTGTGTGTAGGACTTCTGACTACTTAAAGGTGGTCAAAGACATTCCCCCACATCTCTTGTACTCACAGGCTCAAAAAGGGCAGGTGAAGGGTGACCAGTAATGTGGGAGGGGCCATGTGATTACACCCATGGGATGTTAACGTTGCCATGGGCTGGGGCAGCGGAGGAGACTTGAAGGGCTCGGTGCTTAGGATGCTGGCAGCTACTTTTCCCCAATAAAAGCTGTGAAAGCCAGGAAGCGAGGACAGCAGCATCTTTGCTGCCTCCATGAGGTGGTGAAGTCTTTCTGGCTTATGCTCCAGCAGGGAAAACCACAGCCACCTCTCGGCCCTCCCAAGCTGCAAGAATTCCAATTCAGGGCCAGAGGCATGCTCTCTGGTGGCCCTCCCTAGGTCAGTGGAGACACCAGGAGGGATGACTGACTGACTACCCCTCAAGTGACCTCTCTTCATTCTTCTGCCCAGTATCCCATCTGTTTGGGCAGAAGATGTGCTGATTTCACTTTCTTTTGTCCTCTACACACATATGCACATGTATAGGAGGCAAGAGGTGAGGGAAAGGGACACAAGTGACCTGTCCAGCCTGACAATGTTGAAGACCTTTTCTCGGGATGTAAGCAAAAGGAAGAAAAGCTCTGGCAGTCTGCTCAGAGGCAGCTCTGTGATGCATTTGTTGTACTCAGCGCCCGGCCCCTCCCCTCTGGCTGAGTTCTCCCCAAAGTTCGCAGCAATCCACAGTTCACCAGAAAGGATCAGAAGACAGAAAAACAGAGGAGCTGAAGATCACTGGCTTTGGTGTTTAAGCAATGAGGTGTTTTCAGTCGCAAACACACCTATCTGGTTCCTGGGGAAAAATGCCATGCCACTGCACCCACGCAGGGTGGGGCACTGATTCTAATGTTCTCTGCTGGAAAGGATCCCCACTTGGGTTGGAAAGGCAACACCCTGTTGTTGGAAGTGTGGGTTTGGACAGTATCCGCCCTCTCCCTCCCTCAATCATACCTGGAGGTAAGAGCTACCCCCACCACTGCTCTTCCAAAGGCTTCAAGACAAAAATCTCTGTAAAGGGGGGGTTGCTCCCATGTCTAACTGTGCAGCTTCAAAACCATTAGCTATTGAACAGGGGAATCACCCGTGTGATCACCTGTCTGCAGATGGGGCACTTCTTGGGCTCTGGCAAGGCACGGTAGCACTCGCTGCAGGAACAGACATGCCCACACTCCAGAAAGACACAGGACCTGAAGCTGCTCAGACACACGACACAGGCGCTCTTCAGACTCTCCCTGTCCTCAGGCTTGGCTCGACTCAGCAGCTGGGCCTCATGTTTTCGGAACTCCTCCTCCATCTGCTTGAGGCGCAGTCGCTCCTGCCGCTCCAGATACTGCTTCCGGAGGATAAAGAAGAGGGTGGCACACGTGGCAAAGCCAAATACCAGCGCCAGGACCTTCCAGAGTCTGACGCTTGATTCCTGCCTCTGCAGTAGGCTGTCAAAGTCCTGGCTGCTCAGGTAGTACTGCATGCCTTGTTTGGGGGGCTGCAGGCGGACGGAGTTGTTGTCCAGGACCAGTTCACCAACACCTGTGAGGGTGGCCCCAACCTTCAGCATCTCCTCGGTCTCCTGGATGCCTTTGGGCCGCTCACCACTGATATAGTGGCCAATGACATCAGTGAAGGACTGGATTGAGGGGTGGAACTTCTCATACACAGTCTCTAGGCCCAGATCCACTGAGTCCAGTGGCTTCAGCACACGCACGGCCACATCTGCACCATCCTCGTGGGGCACCAGATCAAAGGGCACTGTGTTGGTCCTCTGGTGAATGATCTTTGAACAGTCATTCCTAAAAGAACAGAACTAAAGATAAAACAAAAGTAGCAAACACCCGACACCCAGGCAGGGATGGAGATCATCTAAATGCCAGGAGTACAGAATAAAGTCTGAAGAAACTGGACAAATACAACAGAAATCACTATTATCCAAGTATCTCAGAAGGCTCCATTTTTTAGGTCCTTGAGTTATCAGTGGACAAGAACAGGGGATACCATCATTGATAGCCTTTGCCACTGTAAAATAAAAATCTAAAACAGAAACCCACAAGGATCAGTTGGAAAAATGATGCTCCATGTGATGGCACAAAATGATTTTAACAAATACTGAAATCACTAATCCATAAATCATTGTTTCCAAACTTTAGTGTGCATAACAGTCAACAGATTCCAGGTTCCCTATCCTAGAAATTCTGGTTGAATAGGTCTGGGAGCCCAGGAATCTGCATTTTAACAAGATGCCTAGGTGATTTGGATGTAGGAGGTTCACAGACCACACACAAGATATTATCAGCAGTGAGAGACTGGTCTTTGACCTGTCTCAGGAGAACAGAACCAGGACCCCAGCATTTGAATAGATCAACTGTAAGGTTTTTGGCCAGTGCAGAAAGGATATGTACCAAAGGTGGGTAGTTCGATTCCACACCATCTTGTGCTCCTGAAGTGTCAGCCGCTGAATTACCCCCTTGCAGTTTTCCACAAACTGGCTGTTGAGCGTTTCTTTAACAGATCGTACAGCTCCTAAGTGGAAACAAATTATTTTATTTATGAAGAATTGTTCTGCCTTCTCCTTTAAGGTAACTAAAAATGAGTTTTTAGTGTGAGTTTCATTCATTAATAAAGATGATGCCATTTTCTGTCATTGTAAGTTACATTTTAGGAGCAGTCTGCTATAAGCACTTTACATGAATCACATCATTTAAGTCATACAACAACCCCATAAGGTAGGTATTATTTTAGAGATGACGCTACAGGGATTCAGAAAAGTTTTGGTAATCTTCCCCAAGATCACACAGCCATAACCCAGGTCTTTCCGACCCCAAAGTATTTTCTGGACCAAGGACTCAACACCATAAAAAGCACTTCATGTTAGCCAAGATGATCTTTATCAATCTTTTGGAAGAAGGAGGTTGTTTTCTACCTACCAATAAACAAACATACCTTCAATAACAGCATAAGGCACACATTTTCCCGGAGCTTCTGAAAGAATACTCTTTAAATCTTCACCCAAATGGATTTTTTTAGCTCCCTAAAAGCAAAAAAGCATATTAAATTAACCATTGAATACTGACATGTTCAATCAAACTTAAAGGCAAAAAAGAAAAAGACTGTTTGCTTTTTTCATGTTGACCAAATGAGGAAATTGGGCAGGAAGGAGACTACGGACAATCAGATTTCAAAGCTGTGTCCCAGAAATTTTACCACATAAACAAGGCATGGAACAGTGCCTCTGTCCTCTTCCATCGCTGCAGAATGGCGGTGCCGCATACATTCTTTCTCCAGTTAACCAAAGCATACACTTCTTTTAACACTTTTTAATGAAAACATAAAAGGTACTAGCCAATCAGCATACCACATACTGGACATCACTTAATCTCTTCTTGACAGCACAGAGCTATGTTCCAAAGGGTTCAGATCCAAAGCACCTAAACTATTGCTTAGTACACAGTAGGGGCTCAAGAAATGGTAGGTGCTATTATCGCCACACCTTTATGAATTTATTCTCTGCATTTTATGTTATAATAAAGGGGTGCCTTTGCTTTCTTAGACAGGTCTCTGTTAACTGATGCCAAACACTGTTCTTCCACTTTTTAATTTGTCTTTCTTCCCTCTCATAATCGATTGAGCATGTTACTGCTGCTGCTGCCTCCCTCTAACGGTCCCTAGTTCTCCCACCCCTTTCCATTCAGAGTTTCCAACCTGCTGTGCTTGGGAAATCAACCAAGCCTGTTACTATCGCTTCAAAAACGAGATAAAAGTAATAAAATCAACAATCATTTCCTGAGCATCTATGTGCCAGGCACCGTGCTGGGTGCTAGAGATTCAGGGATGAATAAAGGACCATTCCTGCCTTCAGGGTATTCACATCAACAAATCTTAAGGATGCCAGATTAAGTACCCTCTAAAGAGGTAAAGAGGTACTGGACACATATTAAGGTCATTCTGAGTTTTGGCTACTCTTACACAGTAAATGATAGAAGCAAGGTCAATAACTTCTAAGCCACCTACACTGTGAAGATAATAAAAATAACAGCAATAACAACTAACACTTACGATTTATTCATTTTTTATCTGTCCCCCTCCACTGGACTACTAAAATTCTAGGAGGGCTAGGACACTGTTTGTCTTGCTCACTGCTGTCCGCTTCGTGCCGAGAACAGTGCCTGACATACAGCAAGAACTCAATATATATTTGACAAATAAACTAGTGAATAAATAAGCCCTTAATACTATGTACAAGGCAATATGCTAAGCACTTTAAATGAATAAACCCATTTAACGCTCACACCATCCCTATACAGCAGACATTATTATCCCCAATTACTGATAAGGAAACTGAGGCTCAGAGAAATGAAGTGATTTTCCCAAAGTCACACAGCTAATAAAGTATCCATCACAGGATGGCCAATTTAAAAAGGGGAGGATTTTTAAAAGAGGAGAGGGTAGTGGCGGCGCTCCCGCCGAGGGTTCGGATCCCACATGCAGACCGGTTCCCGCTCACTGGCTGAGCGAGGCACGGGAGCAACACCGAGGGCTGCGATCCCGTTGCCGGTCCCGGTCCGGTACGGGGGCGACACTGAGGGTTGCGATCCGTTGCCGGACACGGAAAAAGACAAAAAAAAAAAAAGAGGAGAGGGTGGAGAATATGGTCAGAAAGACCTGGGGTTGAATCAAGCTTCAATGCATCCATTGTGACTTTGGGCGACTTAACTTATCTGAGTCTCAGTTTCCAAAACTGTAAAGGCACAATCTCACTGGATTTTTATGTGGATTAAATGAACTGTAAGGTGTGAAACAACCCAGGCCAGGGGCTGGCACATAGGAGGCATACCGTACATATGCATTCCCCTCACTACGAGAGATACAAAGGATAAGACACAAACCTTACTCTGGAAGTTCTACAATTTGATCAAGAAAATAGAGTCTAAAATATTATGAGTCCCAACTCTTTTTCCAGGAAGGGGCTATTTCATCCTAATGTAGGAACTAACTGGCAAAGCCGGTCCAAAGACCAGACCCAGAGAGTTCACTGCTTCAAAGAATCCCACGTCCAGCCAACTTGAAGTGAGAGAGTGAAGTATCAGTTACACTCAGAGCCAATCACTTTAAAAGTTGACTATTTCATTAAGTAGAACACGGCAGTTGGAATCTTTCTAGGTTGCCATTGGCAAAGTAAATCCAATTGCCTCATAACTTGGTTTATTCAAGATTCCAAAACTCCTTTCACAGCAGGGATTTCCCACACTTGTTTCTAAGCCCTTACTGAAAACAATCTGATGATAATGAAGTTAGTCAGGTTTAGAAATCCATCTTTCACACAAATGTCAAATTAAGCCCTTTGCTGTTGTATTGTGAAATGTCAGCCAAAATGAACCACAAGCATTTATTGTCTACCACTTGTCAAGCACTGAGTTAGAACCTAGAAGGAAAAGAGGAAAGATAAGTAAGAGGCTGTCTCTGACCTAAAGAGGTCCATCTCTCTAGACCAAACATTCAAGATAAAGCAATGTGGTCAATCAGAAAAAAATCCTGCAACTGGAATCAAAAGATCTAAGTTTAAGTTCCAAGTTGACTACCTCTAAAGTCTTTCCTCTGAATCTCAATTTCTGATTTGCAATCTAGGGGTAACTGTCATTTTATCTACCTCAAATAATTACTGTGAAGGAAACATAAAATCAAGACAGAAATGTGTAAACTGTAAAGTGCTGTTCAAAAAAGCGTTATTTTAAAATTAACTGTAATATGAAAAGGAAGAGTTTGTAGAAGCAAGGAGCTCAGTGGTTAAGTAAATGGGTCTCTGCACTTGCTGCTCCCTTGGTCTGAACTCCTCTTCCTTAGATATCTCCATGGTCTCCCTCATCCCCTCCTGGGCTCTGCTCGAATGTCACCTATTTAAAATAGCAACTCCCCTCCCTTCCCCCATTATACCATTTCCTCTCTTCCCTGCCTTACTCTAAAGCACTTCTTACCACCTGTCATACCCCTTGATTTTCGTGTTTATTATCCGTCTAGTTGTACTAGAATGTAATCTCCACGAGGGCAGGGACTTCTACCTTTTCTACCCACTGCCTGGCGCGCAGCAGGTGCTCAATAAATATTTTTCTTTTTCTTTTTTTACTGAAGTCAATAAATATGTTTCGAGCAAAGTAATGAAGTCAAGATTCATTCTGAGCAATGAGAGCTTAGGAGAAAAGGAGCAGAGCCCCTGTTACGACGAGATCCGAATTCCGATCCTAGCTCCTCTGTTTACGGGCGGGGTGACACCGTCTCAGAGCCTGTTTCCTCTTGTGGGTGGCTTCTGACTGTGGGGCGACCAAGGCGAGTCGTGGCTTCACCATGACCCGGTGCAGAGATGACCCGACTGAGGTCAGTTCCAGCACTGACCTTGAGCTCTTGGGAGACCTGGGCCTTCTGCCGGTACACGGAGTACAGGACGGCGGTGACCACAGAGCTGGTGCCCAGAAGGATGAACTGGCCCAGCGAGGGCCGCCCTCCGCTCTCCATGGTGGCGCCGAGCCCCGGGTGCAGACGGTGACGTTCAGGCCAGGTTCCGTGACCCCCACCCTCCACCTCTCTCCACCCGGGACCGCACCCCCCACCAGGACGGCCCTTCCCGGAAACCCGCAGCCCGTCGCCAGGCGATGACGCGCGACGCCAGAACCGGAAGTAGATGCAGGGTAGCGTGGACCGGAAGAAGGGGTTGCCCGGGTAACCGCCGCGCCGTTGAGGCCTTACTAGGGACCTACTGTCCGGAAGTGGGTGTCAGGGAGAGGTTTGGGCGAGCTGAGGTGTCGCCTACCGCTCTACGACTGTTTCGTCTTCGACATGCTGCGCACCGGCCATAACTGACTCGCCCGCGTCGCCCTGGTGTCAGTCCCTGTGGTTTCCTGGGGTTACTGGGTTGTTGGATGGTTTTTTGATGTCTCCGCAGTTAGGTTGGCAGGAAAGAAGAGAATTGTGTATTAAGCACTTATGAGTATTACACACTTAAGCTTCAAAGCAAACCTTGAAACTTGGATTTTATTCTGTCCACTTAGATGAGAAAACTGAGGTTAGAGAGCTGAGGGGATGTGCTCAAAGTCACACTGTTAATGAGTGCGAAGAGGAATTTACCCAACTCCAGAGCCCTTAGCTCTACTCCATGAGGGCAGATTATATCACCAAAGTAGCTCCTTAATCTACCATCATAACAGAGAACAACATGTTTACTAAATAATAACTACAGCTGCATTTACCAAATGCCTATTATGTGTCAGGTGCTGTGACAAAAAAGTTTTGCAGGCATCATCCCATATAATACAACGCTACTATAGTGCAGATTACATATGAGGAAACTGAGGCTCAGGTTAAGTAACTTGTTCAGGGTCGTATTGCTAAGAGATGGGGATGGGCTTCAAACCCAAGTGGTCCTTACTCTGAGACTGTTTTCTGATTCCACAGGGCATCTCCTTCCCAAACTAATCAGAGATACCCAAAATCTTATCCAAAACACCAACCTGCAAAGCATGTGTTCCCTGAGTTATCTCCTACAGGTTATGCTTTGAATTGTTGAAAATACAGGAAGGTACCTATTGGCCAAAATCAATGTATATAAAATGTGTCTAAAAACTGTAGATTGCTCCAAAAAAGTAAAATATCTTTATTAAAGCAGCTGGTTATCTCTGACATTTTTCTAATGCATTCCTTAAATATGCTTGGGGTGAAATAAGAATTATTTTCTAAGAACCTGAAGTTAGAATCCCTATATTGTCAACACCCTGGGATATCTTTGATGATTTTTAACCAATGTATGATCATGAATTTGTTAAATACACACACATAAACTTAAAGTGAAGCCTAACTTTAATTTTTTTAATGGAACTTGTCAAAAGTTTGATAAAACATTGTGTTGGCAAAGGTGTGGGGGGAAAGAGATTCCTATATATTGCTTGTGGGTATAAAATTGGCCATTATTTATGGAGAACAATCAGACGATATTGATCAAGATTAAAAGTGCCCACACTCATTGACCTAGCAATTCCACTTCTAGAAATTCTTCCTACTTAAATACTCACACACGTGAACATGACAAATATACAGGATTATTCATTGCAGCATTGTTTTTAATAACAAAAAAATGAAAACAACCTAAATGTTATCAATAGTCAATTGGTTAAGTACTTTTTAAAAAATATGTGTATATCATGGGGCCGGCCCGGTGGCGCACTGCGCTAGTGCGCCGCTTGGGAAGCGCGGCGGCGCTCCCGCCGAGGGTTCGGATCCCACATACAGACCGGTTCCCGCTCACTGGCTGAGCGAGGCGCGGGGGCAACACCGAGGGTTGTGATCCCATTGTCGGTCCCGGTCCGGTACGGGGGCAACACTGAGGGTTGCGATCCGTTGCCGGACACGGAAAAAGACAAAAAAAAAAAAATATGTGTATATCAGCATAATAAAGTGAAAAAGCAAACTGCATAACTGTTTGACTATAATCCCATTTATTTTTAAGAGGGGGGATAAAAATATCTATGTTTGCATGACTCTGGTAGGATTCACAAAAAGCTGATAATATTATTGGTTTTTTTCCATAGAAAGAAACTGGATGATTAGAGAACAGAGAGGGTAACTTTTCACTCTTTTGTACCTTTTGAGTGTGAATGTATAGCATATTTTAAATTAATTAAATTTAAATTAAAAAAGACAAAGAAGAACATGCCAGTCACTCCACAACCAACGATTGCGGAGGACCTCTTGTATCCAAGGCTCTGGCACTAAGAAATACAACCCGATACAGCCGGGCTCTTCCCTCTGGCTGTTTAGGGTCTTGTGGGGAGATGCGCATGGGCAGAGTTACCTATTGTCCCAGGCCCAATGGAATCAAGGCAAGCAAAGTGCTACCAGCAGCGTGTACTGGGGGGTGCTGTTTATTCTCACTAGAGAAGGAATTTGAGTTCTGTAAACAGAATAGAGGGTGGAGCAGCAGCCCAGGATGAGATTAGGAAGACTTTTCATGCAGAGGGAAAGGATGAGCAGAGTGCAAAGCTACCAAGCATTGGCCAGTACAGCTGCAGCCCAGGACGTGTGACAGAGAGCAAGGAGCAAGTCACTGAAAAGGAAGACTGAGGCCAATTCCTGTAGGTCCTTAAATGCCAAACCAAAACTTTAAATTTCATTATTTTGGGTCTGGGATCCAGTAAAGCTTTTTGAGGATCAGCAAGGGCATGATCTAACATGTTTTTGTCCTTTTTTTAATAATCAAAATTCCTGTATTCTTGGATCACAGAGGGGAAAGAACAAAAAGGGAGCCATAAAATTGAAAATGGGTGGAGTGTCTTCACGGCAAATAGGTTAGGGGTCCTTGATTATGGGGTCTGCCTATTTTGGACCTTCTTGTTTTATTCTCCAGGCCCTTTTATGGGTTCCTTGAGAGCTTGTTAAAAAGCCATCACTCTTAATTGAGACAGTTCAGTTTCAAACAACCCTGCCATTTTCGGCCAAGGCTGAAATACTTTATTAGCCATGTTGAGCATGGTCCTATTGGGACAGTTTGAAATTTACATCATGTGGACCTTGTTAGGAGCAATGAGAGATGGGCAATTTCAGCTGCAGCCAGATGTCCCCAGGGAATCATTCCCAGCTTGGAATGGCTGTCCACACTGAGTCACAAATTAAAAATGAGTCTCTGACTTCAAGAAAGTGAGGTAAGTTTCTAAGGGACCAGGCAGAGCATCTAGGGGGTGGGGACCCAACCTGAGAGAGACAGGGTCTCTAAGGACAATGCCACCACTGGAAGAATTTCACTTCCAACTTAAATTCAGATTTCTCCTCAGAGGAGCAAAAATTCCCTGCAAGTCACTGGATAAATGCCTCTTAGGTATTTGCCAAGTTCCAGGGACCAAATAGATATAAGGACAGGCATGTTAGCACTTGCACTGACACCGCCAGACAGGTGCCATGGGAAACAGGATATAGAAAAAATGTTAACAAGAGCATCAGCTTGTCATTCAGTTTTCTTATAGGATGTTATCTTGGGAGAGCCCCTAACATAATTATTAAGAATTATCTAATATATTCAACATAGCATTAATGAGCATTTATGCCATGCAATTTACTCTCTCGGACACACAGCACGACTCAGGTGTAATGTGCAGCATGCTCCACATCCTCATGGAGGGTACAGGGGAGACTTTTTATAATGATTTAAACCCCATCTACTTGTGAAAAGAATCTGAGATGACTACATAGGCTGGAACAACCATAAGACAAATATACAAAAAATAAATACAGTTAGAACAAAAACCAGATAAAAGGAGCAGGAAACTACCTGGTGACAAGCACCTAGGATGAGTTAATCATACAATTGGACACCAGCCTTGACTGTGAGCTTCCCAACAGCCATGGCATAAAGGAAATGTCTTGGGAGACAATCTAGTAAAGTTGGGGCAAGCACCCAAAAGATTACAATTCAAGGCAGTTTGTGAAAAGTCTGACGAAGAGGAAGGGATTAATTTCTCTACACGTCAGTGAATTGGTCCACTGTCCCTCCATGAGGATGTGGCTGTTAGAAGCTCACAGAAGGAAGTAGGCTTTTTGAATATCCTAAAAGAAGTTGCACCCAGTGGGGATCACATCCAGTGGCTTCACTTTCTCAGTCTCCTTTGGACCAGTGGGACCTACCTACCATTGAATGGCCAAAGGTTCCAGCAGTAAACAAAGATGGGAGATCTCATGGCAGAAAAAATTGTCCCTGAGGATGGAGTGATGAGCCTTGACCTCACCAGCACCACAGATCACAGGAGAACAATCAGTCTCTGAGGGGAACTGACCAGTCACTCTTTCATTTAGAAACTCCTCAAACAGCATGTTATGGACCAGGCACTATACTTTTCTGAACAGCTTTATTAACATGCAATAAACTGCACGTACTTACAGTGTACAATTTGGTAAGTTTTGACATATGTATGCATCTGTGAAAGCATCACCACAATCAAGATCATGAACGTATCCATCACCCCTAAAAGTTTCCCAGTAACCCTCTGTCTTCCTTCTCTTACACCCCCCACCCTCACTTATTTCCAGGCAACCGTTGATCTGCTTTCTGTCTCTATAAATCAGTTTTCATTTTCTAAAAGTGTATGTAAATGGAACCCTATAGTATGTAGCCTCTTCTCTGGCTTCTTTCATTCCAAATAATTATTTTGAGATTCATCCATGTGGTTGCATGTACCAGTAATAGTTCATTCTTTTTTATTGCTGACTAGTATTTTATCGTATGACTATACCATAATTTGTTTATCCATTGACCTGCTGGTGAACATTTGGATTGTTTCCAGTTTTTACCATTATTAATTAAAGCTGCTATGAACATTCATGTACAAGTTTTTGTATGGACATATGCTTTCGTTTTTCTTGGGTAAATTCCTAGGACCGGAATGTCTAGGCCATATGGTAGATGTATGTTTAACTTTTTAAGAAACTGCCCAGTGGTTCTCCAGAATGATTGTACTGTACCATTTTGCATTCCCATCAGCAGTATGAGAGTTCCAGATCCTCCACGACATTTGGTATGATCAGCCTTTCAATTTTAAACGGTCTAATGGTATTCATCTCATCATGGTTTTCGTTTGTGTTTCTCTGATGACTAACAATGTTGAGCATCTTTTTATTCACCACCCATATATCTTTGTGGGTGAAGTATTTGTTCAAACCTTTGTTCATTTTTTAAATATGTTGTTTTGTTTCCTGATTATTGAGAGTTCCTTATATTTTTTGGATACATGTCCTCTATCAAATATGTGATTTGCAGATATTTTCTTCAAGTCTGTGGCTTGACTTCTGACTCTTAGATTGTCTTTTGGAGAGCAGAAGTTCTTAGTTTTTATGAAATTCAATTTATTCATTGTTTTCTTTTATGGAAAAGGCTTTTGGCGTTATAGCTAAGAAATCTTGGCCTAATCTAAGGTCACAATGATTTTCTCCTATGTTTTCTTCCAAAAGTTTTATAGCTTTAGGTTTTACATTTAGTTCTATGATCCATTTTGAGTTAATTCTTGCATATGATGTGCCAGATACTGTGTTTTCCATGCACCATCTCATGCCATTCTCACATCATTCTTGCAAAGTAGCTAGATACTATTTTTATCCCCATATTACGGAAATGAGACTCAGATGCAGAAACTGAGACTCGCTGAGATGAAGTTGCAAGAGCTATATGCTTAAGCACGAAACTATAATGACTTTTATTTAGTTCATGCTTTTGGCCCTAAAAACAATTAGTGATTGATTGGGTCATTTCCTTCCCTGAATCATACTCATCACTATTATTCAAATATTTAGTCAACGGCAGCCCATTTGAGGAACTGGTCTGGAAATCAGGATTCTTGGGTTGTCATATTGGCTCAGGTCAGTCTCGCCACAGGGGAAAATGTAAAATAATTTCTAAGGGTCCCTCAATCTCTGCAGTCTATGATGTCCGAGATTTTCCTGGGATCATGTCGAGTGTAGTCATGGCTGCAGTTGATATTTTTAGCCACAAGGAGGCGCCAGGAGCACAGGATGCAGAAGACAAAGAGAAGAGAGAGGGTCGGGGCCTGGAAGGCAGATGCAGAAAGAAGGGCAAAAGTCTGGAGGTCTAAGGAGGGCACTCAGGCCAACTGTGCCCCCACAATGGGTTGTATCAAGGGCCCAGTTAAGCCTTAGGCTTGCTATTTGCCAGCAGGCCCTGGGACTGTCGCCCCCACCCTCACCTGGGAAGTGCAGGAACCTCTTTGTTATTAACAAGCTAGTCGGTCACTCGGGAGACACCAGCATCCTATGAGCTGGGAAAGGGTGGATTAGGACAGGCCTGGGAGTCAGGTGCCCTGATCCTAGATGGGCTCTGCCATTTACTAGCCATGTGACCTCTGGCAAATCCCATCACCTCCCCAAGTCTCCATTCCTTACCTGCAAAATGGACAGATAAAAGCAGATGACTCCCCAGGTGTCTTTCAGCAGGGATTCTATTTGAGCTACCTGAAAACTGCAGAAAGAAACACATTCTCCCTTCCATGTACTGAACAAACCATTTCAACATTACGAGCTTTAGTTCCCACAGCTAGAAAAAGGAGTTAATGATCCCTGCTTTCTGCACAGGACGGCTGTAGGCCCAGACAAGTGGCCGTGGGGGAAACTGCTGTAGACGAGTTAGGAATTCTCCTTTTAAATATTATTTGTGTTCTTGGCTTACAGAATGTAGGCAAAGAAGTTGGTGAATATGAATAATTCTTGGTTTTTAACCAGTTGAATCTGCTCGGCATCATTTGGTTGGTTAAAGTTGTAGAAATTCTGGAAAAAAATATATTTACCATAATTAGAAGATAAACAAATATAAAATTCAATATTTAAATAAAGCTATGAGGCTGAATGAAAAATGAGTAACATAAGGACAATAATATAGAAGTTCAGGGGAGGAAAATATCCCCACAGGCTTCTGTGGTAAGGGAATAATAACGGCAGAAACATTTCCTGAACACCTACTATGTGACAGTCACTGAAAAGCGTTTTACATATAGAATCATAAATTTTTGATCAGAAGGGACTTCGGGGGTCATCCTATTATACATGTAATTATATATTTATGTACATTATTACTCATTGACTATCCATCTTCCCTGCTAAACTCCAAGCTGAATAAGCCCTAGGAGCTGTATCTTTGTAGTTAACTACCACATTTTCAGTGTTTAGCACAGTACCTGGTATATAGTAGGTGCTCAATAAATACAAGGGTACTTCAAAAAGTTTGTGGAAAAATAGAATTGAAAGGGAATTCAAATCTTTCCATGAACTTTTTGAAGTTCATGGAACCCTCACATTTGTTGACTAAATAAATGGATAAGTGAACAAACCCAGTCAAAACTCACTCCCAGTAGGTGACGTCCTTCTACTTTGACTTAGAGAGGGTCACCTAGCCTCTCTTGAACATTTCCCTCGGTGGAGAGCTCACTGTCCCTCAAGGCGTCCATTGCTGGCCATCTTGAATCTCTGACACTTCACTTCCTCGGCCTTTGTTCTTCCATCCGGAGCCTTTGTCTATCCTGAGAAAGGGCTGAACCCCTCAGTTACTTCCTTTGAGTCCTGCCAACCATGAGCCCATCTAGCACTGATGGAAGGAAGTCGAGAAATACTATGGTGGCAGGAAAGGGCGCAAGGTCGAACGAAGAGCTTCTCCTCAAGATGGGAGGAGGGTGTCCGTCTAGTACGGGGTGCAAGCTGAAAGCAGACTGTAGATGGAGAGGAAGGGGTAGATATAGGACCCTCTGTGGGACCCCATGCTCCAGGGAGGCGGACCTTGGCCTCAGCCCCAGCCAATCGTGGTGGTTCCGTCATTCTTACCGGGGATTGGTTTAGGAATGGACATGTGACTCGGTTCTGTCCAATGAGATGGGAGGGGGAGTTGGCTGAGGGGCTTAAGGAAAAATCTCTTAAGAAGCACAGGCTGGAAGAGACAGTCCCTTTCTGCCTCTGGCCGATGTGTCTGAATGTGTCACAACTGCTGAAGCTGTCTTGTTGCCACCAAGACCAATAGACGAAGAACGGCAAAGCGAAGAGAACCATACAGAAGTGGAGCTGGAGCTTTGATCACACCGCTACTCCTGACTTGTAATTGAGAATCATAAACCTTACGTGTAATCCCACTGAATTGGCCCGTTGGTAAGTACCACCCCCAAGAGCATCCTAACAGATGCACAGATGAAAAATGAACTGCATTGAAGAGGTCTCTGTCAGTGAGAAGTGCAAAAGCCCGAGTCCAACTTGCTTAAGCAAAAATAAAAACAAAACCCAGAATTTGTTGGCTCAAATAACTGGAAAATGTAGGGTTGGCTGGATCCAGAAATCCAAAAAAAACGGCATCAGGATTCATCTTTATCTCTCTACTCTGTTTGCTCCTTTCTTTTTTTTTTCCTTTTTTTTTTTTTTTGTCTTTTTTACTGACTGGCAACGGGATCGCAACCCTCGGTGTCGCGCCCGCACTGCGCTCAGCCAGTGAGCGGGAACCAGTCTCCACATGGGATGCGAACCCTCGCGGGAGTGCCACTGCACTCCCAAGCGGTGCACTCTACCGAATGCGCCACCGGGCCGGCCCCGTTTGCTCCTTTCTTAGACAGTCACTCCCAGGTCATAAAATGTCCAGTGGGACCCTCAGACCCACACGCTCACAGCTTTGAAGCCCCAGTGGAAGAGGACTTTTCTTTCCCCATAGTTTCAACAAAAGTCCTGGGATTTAAGTCTTGTGGACTACTTTGGGTCACATATCCACCTGTGAGCTAATCACCAAAACCAGGGGAAGAAAAATACCAACTGGCCAAGAACAAGCGCTGTGCCCACTATTAAAGTGGGTGGGTGAAAGGCGGTCAGAAATCAGGGTGTTCATTCAACAAGTATTTACTGAGTGTGTTCTAGGCACGAGACAAGCACTGTTCTAGGTGCTGCTACCCAGAGGAAGGGAAAGGAATTCTCAGTGTCTGTTCTACCAACGGAAGACAAGTCAGAATGACAGGAGCTCTGAGGAAGTCGCAACTGACATCTGACTGGGTTGTAACTAACGTAAACCACGTTCCCTAATGAATAGCTTGTGTTACAGCCAAGTCAGCTGTTGACCGTTTTGAAATGGGCCGCTGTTTACTTTCTTAGCCTAGAAACCCACTGACTTTGATCCAGCTGTCTGTATTCTTCAGCATATGCTCATTATTATTTAGGTGTTTTTGGCCAATTGGATCTACAAAAATAATATTTTTAAACTTGCAAATACAAAATACAAGTAGAGCTTATATTAAGCCAAGAATTAATTCAGTTACTAAGTCACTGAAACTCAACTCAGGGTCAAGACTAAGGGGAGGCCAGAAGAGCATAGGGTGGGAAATTTAAGGAGGCGCTTACTGTCAGGTTCATGCAAGTGCCTCCTTAAACTTTGCACCCTACATGCCTCACTTAACTCGCTCTAGTTACAGCCCTAACCCGATTAAAACTAGCTTAGGCCAAAAAGGAAAAATTACAGGCTCAAGTCTAATTAAGAAAGGCACAGTGATGACAATGGCCTCTAATGCCCATGCACCCAGGGCTCAGATGCACTGGTATTTATTCTTCTCTCCTCTTTCCCCTTCCACACTTCCTCCCCCCTCTCCCCTCTGCTTTTCTCTCGGGGCCTGTTTGCTGTAGTCTCTCCTACCACCTTAGTCTTTTGTCTTACGGGTAGATCATAGTTGCAAAGAGCACCAGCTTAGCTCTTCAGCTTGCAAGCAGAAGGGGGAAGGTGGGCAGGGGACTGGGAGAAAGACCGCACGTTGGCTATCTCAGGTCACATGCCCATGCCTGGACCAATCACTGTGGCCAAGAGCAGGGATAATAAGGTTGCCCAATCTGGGATGCATACTCACCCCTGAGGTCTAGGAGCTGTAGGCTGAGGCCAGAAGAAAGGAGGGTCTGATGAGCAGACCAAGGCAACTCTTAGTATTTTAAGTCTGAAACATACAATTTTTTTTCTATTATTCTTTTTTCTATTAAAACAATTATTTTTAAACAACAGTGTGACAACCTGAGGTTTCTAAAAAATGCAACTATTGAGTTACAGAAGAATAGATTCCACCCTGGGGCAAGAAGAGGTGGTAGGGAAAGAGGCTGAAAAGGTCAATTAGAGCCAGATCATGGAGCTCCTTTAATTGATTTTTAAAATAAATTTGCATCATGTCTACTAAGTGCCAGGAAAGGTGGAGTTTGGATTCTGCTCTGTAAGCAGAAAGAATTTTTTGAGCAGAAGCACATCAGAGTAAGAGAAACTGCTTTGAAAAACCACCAAACTGTGGATTACCCTGGAAGACAAATAACAAGCCCACCTGTTGGGGAGGATGCCCCAGGGCCAGAAAGTGGTGGCCTGCACTTGCTGAGCACATCCTGCATGCCCCTCCCCCATGGCATCACCTGGGGCATAGTACACAGGATCTCAGGGGCTTCTCAGTTATCCATGATACACTCTCACCCCCATATCACCCCCTGCTCTTTTCCAGGAAGACCCACTGGATGCCCACAGGACAGGATCTGCCACCTTTCAGTTCTGTGGCCACAGGTCAGTCACTTAAGACCCTTGAGCCTCCATTTCCCCATCTGCTCAATGTTTACCATGTACAAATAGTTACCAGGAACACATACATCAAGAAAACTTTGTGTTGGGCCGGCCTGGTGGTGCACTGGATAAGTGCGCCGTTTGGGAAGTGCGGCGGCACTCCCGCCCGAGGGTTCGGATCCCACATACAGACCAGTTCCCGCTCACTGGCTGAGCAAGGCGCGGGGGCAGCACCAAGGGTTGCGATCCCGTTACCGGTCCCCAGTCCGGTACGGGGGCAACACTGAGGGTTGCGATCCGTTGCCGGACACGGAAAAAGACAAAAGACAAAAAAAAAAAAAAAAGAAAAGAAAACTTTGTGTCAAAATACAGCTCATTTTTACTGAGTGCTTATTCTGTGCCAAATCCTTTGCATGCATCATCTAATCAAATCCTTGTGAGAACTGTGGCAGAGACAGCTAATTGTACCCCAATATTTATTCTATCCATTCTTTCCTGGTAATAAAATCTCTAATTTTTGGCTGGACACATAAAAATTACATTTCCCAGCCCTCCTTGCAGAGGCATAACGATGTGCCTAAATTCTGGCCAAAGGGAAGGAAAGGAAAGGGTCACATCAAACTTCTAGGGAGTGTTCTTGAAGGGAAAGAGGCATTCCTCCTTCATTTCTTTCTTTCTTCCTGCTGGCTGGATTGCAGTCAAGAGAGCTGGAGCTCCAGCAGCCATCCTTAACCATGAGATATTAGCCAGGTGTTGAGAATGGCAGAACAAGATAAAAGAAACCTGGGTTCCCAGTTTATTATAGCAAAATATTCCCTTGCATTAGCTGTTTCTAACCACTTCCCTGCTTTATTTTTCTCCAGAGCACTTATTACCATCTAATGTACTATATTTGAATAACTTGCATGTTTATCATTGGTATCCTCCAATAGAATGTAAGCTCACGAGGGTAGGGATTTAG